ATCTGGTTACTGTTTACAGAACCAAAGGCCATGACCAGTGTAACCCTTGTGAATAGCAACACCACTTCAATTACTCCGAGATGGGACAGTCAATCAGACTATGATGCTGGGTACATGTCGGTGGAGCCGACTGGAGATCCATTTTCAAATAGCACTGTTACTGATGGGTCTATAACAGTGGTGGATCTGAGCCCTGGGACCAATCACACATTCAACACGAGTGCACTGACAGCAGATGGGACAACATTTCCGGTAACAGATTCTTTTACAACAGGTAAGGAAGCTGCTCAGTATGGGCTTTGGATTGATGTGTTCTTTGTGTTCATCACAAATGGATGAAACTGGCGAGAATGTCTCTTAACGTTCCCTCTCCACCAGAATGGGCTGATTAACATTAATTTGAAACATTTTACTGACCAATGAAACTGAGAGTCTCCTGGTGGGAGATTGAGATTATGTTAGATATTATCTTGGATTGTATCTTCAAAGGGTCTGAAGTTATATTTGTTCAGTGATTATCAGATCTTTCAGGATGGTAGTGGAGGTCCTGTTGTGTACTGGAATGAAGTAAGGAATCTGCTGTGGAAAGTGAAACATGTGGTGCATTAGGAAACAGGATGAGATTTCTTTTGGATTTATTGATGGAATATGGTTATCATTGTTAATCACCAGCAGTTAACTGTTCAGAAGAGTTACATGGAGTAGTTGCATGCTACAATGTTTTTCTGATGCGTATAGTGAAATTGTCTGGCTAGCTCAAACATTTCAGACGGTAATTAAGATTCAGTCAGGTTGTGGTGAGCTTTTACAAGAGGTATTGAAGCTGCTCAATATGGACTTTGGATTGATGTGTTCTTTTGTGATCATTGCCTATGGGTCAAACTGGAGAGAGTCTTCTCTCTTAACGTTCCCTCTTTCTTCCCTAAGAGTAAGCACGAACGGGATGGAAACAAGAATTTGAAACATCGTGCTCATGATTGAATGTCAGAATCTTCACATAGGGAGATGGACAGTATAAGGGTTTGAAGTTATATTTTGTTCCGTGATTATCAGATCATTCAGGATGGTAGTGGAGGATGTGTTACATATAGGAATGAAGTGAGGAATCTGCTGTGGAAAGTGAAATGTGTGCTACTTTAGGAAACAGGATGAGATTTGTTTTGAATTTATTGATGGAACAAACCTGCTCATTAAAGACTTTGATGACAGTTGAACTGTGCAGAATCTGTCTCTTAATGCTCCCCCATTCGGACACGTGATGAGCAGTCCTGAAACAGTGTTGTTGAAATTTTGGAATTGAGAAGAAACTAAGGACTACAATAGGATGGGATGAATATGATCTATTAAGCCTTCTCTCCCATTGATTACTGATGTGGCAGAAGTTGGACATAGTTTTCTTCCACTCACTGACCCCCGCCACCGCCCAACTTCACTTGATTCGCTGGGGCCTGAGAGATTCACAGCTTTTTGTGTGAAGAAATTATTGATTATTTCAGTCCTGAATGATTGACCCCATGCCCCTTGTTCTATGTTTCCCAGCAGCAGGGTTGGGAATCATGCCTCACTATCTTCCCTTTCAAGCCTTTTCATAATCTTACATGTTTCGTCATGATCACTTGTCTTGCTCTTAACTCTGGAGTGCACAGACCCAATTTAGCCTGTGACCATCGGTTAACTGTCTCTTCACATGGACCAAGGCTTGTGAACCTTCACAGTACTGCCTTCCCTGCAAGCATCCCCTTCCATAAATATGGTGTTTGAAGTTTCGGCTGAAACACCAGGTGACAGCTCAGTGTTTCTGATCATCGATGTATGATCGTTTTGTATATCATTGAAGCGGACAACTTGCGCATATAGAATGAGTGAATACAATCCCCTGCACATTATTTTAAGGGCAGGCTTTCAGGAAACGAAAGAAAAGGAAAGAGAAAAAGAGTCTACAGGTAGATACTATTGAAAACTCAATAACATGCGCATCAACATTTCTAAAGGCTTCCTACTTTGGTACATGCTCTTCTGTTCTTCATACAAGCTCCAGCTCGTTGTGCAGCTTTCTTTTTAAATGGCATTTTTTAACAGTATATGTGTGATGATGTGGCATCAGAGCTCACGCTGGGTTTCACCTTATAGCAGAGTTTCTAACAAATGACTGCTGAGGGCAATGTTCCATTACAGCATTGTTCAGAGGTTCATCTGCAAATCCATGAAACCCTATATCTGTATCTCTTCCCAAGTACTTTCAATGATTACTATCTTGACAGTTAAAGCATTTTGTTTACAATATTGACTGAAACATTTGATTATGTCTGTTCCCATTAAACTAACTGTATTTCTAACCCCACATCTTCTGAAGTCCATTGACCTTAGGTACAAACACTGGGGGTTTCACAGCATGTATATCCAAGCAGTTCTTGTCAGATTCGAGTAAATATCATTAAGGGAAAGCTCAATGATAGCAATTTGCTTAAATATGAATGTTTATTAAATAATAATAATTGATAATAATGGTAACAATAAATGATTATAGTTGTAATGATAAATGGAAGAGAAAAAGTAAAAAAAACAATCAGTCTCATGCCTTTCTAGAAAAAGCAACAAATCTAATGTTCGTCTACCTGTCAGGGATCCCTCAACTGATGGCTGGTCTGGAGCTTTAGGTTCGTCCCTGGCACTGTTCACAATTCCGAGCTGAAGCGAGGTCCAGCAGCAGCTTTGAACAAAACTCTGTCTCTCCCTTATACAGTATCACAGATGCAATAGACGAAACTGCTGGGTTGTGCAGAAAACAAGTTTTTTTTTAATTGTGCTGTCTGCAGCACATATGGGAATGTTCACAGAACTCATCCAAGGTCATGCAGCTTGTTAAGTATTATTCTAAACTTGCCCAGCCTATTTTCCCATCCAGTACAATCTATCATTAACTTCTAGCCCTTCGGCCCATCCTGTACATTCACATTTCTCGCTGATTTGGTTATTGGAAATGGTGTCAGATGGTAACGGCATGTGGGCTTACTGCAAAGGGTGGTTTCAGCAGCTGGAATGGAAAGATTAGTATCATTGTCCCAGCCTTTATGGTACCCAGCCTCCAGGGCTGCTGCTTCATTCTGAAGACCAGTGGATGCTCATTCAATTATCGCTTCCTCTTGACTGGGCACTGGTTGGTCTCATCTCTTTCATGATAGCTTCTGTTGAAAAGATCATTTGACAATGAAATGCAGTAAATGGCGAAGTTGCATCATTGAATAAGACCTATGGCCATGTCACGTCATAAACAGTATAAAGAGATCTTGAGGTCATTTCTGTGTCACTCGAGGAATTTTTGCTTTCTTTGTTATGCTAGCTACCAGTCCCAACTTGTACTGTCTATACATGTCTCTCATTTGCTTCCTCAATTCCGTGCTGAGCCTTATATACTCAGCCTGGTCCCCACTTGTTATCAGCCTGACTCTGTCATAAACACACTTTTTCTCCTTCATCTTAATCCCTATTCTCACCAGCCAAGGAGAGCTGGATTTGTTTGCCCTAGCATTCTCCTTTGACCTTTGACTGTACTTGATCTGTTTCTTCTTTAAAGGCAGCACATTGTTCAGTGACATCTTTGCCTGCCAATCCTTGGTCCTAGTTTATCCAGACTGGGTTTATTCATTGCCTTTGCTTTCTGTTAATTATTGGCTTTCTTTCTGTTCATTATTCTTTCTTTTTGCTCTTTATACTTTGTGATAGCAAGCCTCATCCTTCTGGTGTGATTATCACCGTTCCCTAAACGTTCTGCTGCTGGCATTTGACCCACTTGGGCCTACCTCAGTAGAATCTGGCCTAGCAATGTCTCTTTCTCTTTGGATTTGAAACATACTACTGTAAACATTTCTTCTCTCAACGCTCATTAGGATTTTTGCCTCTTTCCCCCTTTTCACTCCCACTAGTCCCGTTTATTTTTGGATTATTAATGTCCACTACTGTAACTATAATGGCCCCTCTCTAATTTCCTTACAAATTTGTTCATCTATCCCTTTGCCACTAGCTGGTGGCTTATAGACTTCATGGAGTAATCGCAACTTATTTTGCTCCTTAACTCTGGGTCATGTCCTGTCCATTTCTCTCTCATCCTTCTACTAACTCCTGCTATTCAGTTCTTTTGATCAAGTCTGTGCGCTCTGATTATCGATCTAAGGCGAATACGTTCTTATCCATTCTGTGGTCAGTGAGTGTTACATTAAACTATTGGGCTCTACTAGCTGCTTGTGGTAAAGTGCCTTGGAGACAAAGACCCTTATAACTTACAGTTTGACATCAGGATGTGGTGGCCATTACTTTTGCCCTATGGTTTATGAAGGCTTGGAAGGAGACTATAGTGAATGCTCTGGAAGGAGTGAGATTTCATACGCCAAGCCAAGTGCAAGTCAATGTAACAGGACTGAAGGATGCATGCAGAGTTTGCAGCATTATGTAATTTATCTCTGACATATTCAAAAGGGGAAATTTGAAGATGAGAACTTAAACTATTTAGTTTACATAGCTAAAATTTGTGGTGGCATAGAATTATAACTCATGAAGTATGCTTGTAGTTTGTTTTTCGCCAAGAAACTGATCACATTCCCATTCCCTTCCCTTACTGGTGTCAGTAACCTTTTCACACTGGAAATCCTAACAGGCTGTTGCACTGAACTGTGAAAGTGGAGGAGTATACTTTTTTTTTTAACCTCCACAATGACTGACTGCCATAGAATTGATCTTGCTGCAATTGAAGACTATTTGACCGTTTTCTACCTATTGAAACATGAGGGTGTCTGTTTCATTTCTGTTCATCCAAATTACTTTTAAATACTTAATCCTTACATTTTCTTTCCAATGACACGCAATTGTTTGTTTGTATGATATGTAGAGTCATTTGAAATTAAAGTGACTGTGCAACGATTAATAGCTGATCTTTTAATATTTTCCTCGATCACTTCTTCCTTCCCATTCCTTTTCTGTCTCCACATCATGAACTTCATCTGCTGCCACCTTGCTTCTTAGTTTTCATTTTCTCCTACAATCTGCAGACATTGTGTCTTTATATTTAAAAAAAAAAACCTCACAATTGCTACCTATAGCTTTTCCTTTTTTTTATATGCTTTTGAACCTTGGATATCTGGTGCATTATGCTTTAATTTCCCTTTGTCAAATTTTCCTATTACGAAGAAATCTGTTGAGACATTTCTTGCACGCTGCTGTAAGCAACTGTTTGTTGAACAAAGATGGTGTAACTGTTTCCAACAGAGCCCAATCCAGTACTGAATGTTATGGTGGTGGAAGCTGGCACCAACTTTGTAATCCTGACTTGGACGCAACCACCAGATCATAAAGAAGGGTATGAGTACATGGTGCTGACCAAGGGAAACCCAGCCCCTTCTGGTGATAATGGAAACATAACTGTGAAAAGTGCGAATGCTACTATCGAAGGACTGACATCTGGAACCAAGTATAATTTTACCGTGATAACACTGGCAGCAGATGGGACTCCGTCAACTGCAGTGACGGAATCTAACTACACAAGTAAGTGTTTGTCCTAGGTAGGTCAAATGAGATCTGAATAAACCTATTTTTTTTAATCTTTACCATTTCTATGATCACTCGTTTTACTGTCTGCGTGAAACATTGGTGAGCCTGCTTTCTGTATCAGTTGTTACCTTTTATTGAGTTACTTCACAAGGGATGTGAGTTCAGTATAAAGTCTTTTAAGTACCAAAAGTGCACTGTTATGATTTGTATATAGCTAACTTTTAAATTTTATTTTGCTGGTTGACTTATTGCATCAAGATACCTCAACCAGAATAGGTTTTAAGGTAAAATAGGAATCCCAAGTGGATACAACATGTTGAAAGTCTGTTACTAGCCATGATGTTAAATTGTTCAAAGTATCCAACCTGGCTTACTTAAAAGCACTGTTGTGTTTATTGAGAATGTTGTCTATTCAAACTTTATTGCAGCACTCAAGTATATAATTTAATCTAGCTTCAGTGTATAACTGGGACTTTATTGGAGCTTATTATGCTCCCGCTTCATTGCTCAGAGCTTTGAGTATAAAAATTGGGACATTATGTTGAGTTTGTTCAGGATATTCGTGAGGCCTCTTCTGGAGTCCTGTGTGCAGTTCTTGTCGCCCTGTTATAGGAAGGATATTATTAAACTGGAGATGGTTCAGAAAAGATTTACCAGGGTGTTGCTAGGAATGGAGGGCTTGAAATATAAAAATGAACTGGGACTTTTTTTCACTGGAGTGTAGGAGGTTGAGGGGGTGACCTTATTGAGGTTTATAAGATCATGAGGGACATAGATAAGATGAATGACAAGGGTCTTTTCCCTAGAGTGGGTGAGTTCAAAACAAGGGGACATATTTTTAAGGTGAGAGGAGAAAGATTTAGAAGGGACATGAGGCGCAGCTTTTTTTTTTTTACACAGTGGTTCAGATGTGGAATGAACTGCCAGAGAAAGTGGTGAATATGGGTACAGTTACAACATATGGGTGGCACAGTGCCTCAGTGGTTAGCACTGCTGCCTCACAGTGCCAGGGACCTGGGTTCAATTCCACCTTCAAGCAATTATCTGTGTGGAGGTTGCACATTCTCCTCATGTCTGCCTGGGTTTCCTCCCACAGTCCAAAGATGTGCAGGGTAGGTGGATTGGCCATGCTAAATTGCCCGTATTATCCAGGGATGTTTGGGTTAAACATGGGGAAATGCAGGGGTAGGGGAATGAGTCTGGGTGGGATGCTCTTCAGAGGGGCAGTGTGGACTTGTTGGGCCAAATGGCCTGTTTCCACACTGTAGGGATTCTATGATAATATTTAAAAGACGCTTGGATAAGTATTTGAATAGGAAGGGTTTGGATGAATATGGCCTCAGCACAGGCAAGTGGGCATCGTTTAGTTTAGCTATCTGTCTCCTGCTCTATTCGGGAGGGGATTAAAAAAATACCAGGGTAATTCTCTAATAAACTAACAAAATTTCTTTCACAGCCCTGACCAAAGAAACATGTTGATTTCAGTTTTGGGATTTTGCTATGTGCAAAATTGACTGGTTGCATTTGCCAAAATATTGGTCATCTTTACAGAAAGAAGTTGGTTGTGAAGGGTCATGGTACATTCCAAGAGCATGACACGTAAATGACCAATAAAAATTGCTCAGAATACTCAGCAAGTTGACAGCATCTATGATGAGGGAAGCGGATTTATCAAAAACAGAAATGGCTGGGGAAACCCAAGGCTAGCAGCATCTGTGGAGAGAAAGCACAGTTAGAGTCCAGTGACCCTTCTTCAGGCCAGATTTATCAGTTCAATTCGATGACTTTTCAGCAAAACTGGTAAACATTAGAGAGTATCATGTTTGAAGCAACTGAGGAGGTTGAGAGGGACAGTTGGATAATGTGAAAAGAACCAAAGGGAAGGTTTGTGATGGGTTAAAGGTAGGACTGCTCACATGTCCAAAAGGGATGATGGTGCATGTAAGAGGGGCTGGCAGTGGAACAGTGAAGAAAAATAAAAGTGTCTCAGAATTTTGCTGCAAATGGCCACAGCATCTGCTGCTCAAAATAATGGAATTGTTGGTTGTGATCTCATGGTTTAATTCATTGGGAAGCCTGAATCAGAAAAGTTGTCAATCGGGCTTCTATAAACTTTCTAATAGCCTAGGAGGGAGGAATTAGTGTTCCGAAAGAAAGCTGGATGGGAACGTTCAGCACAACGATTGCCCCATTAGGCTTTTTCCTCTCCATGTTTGAGGGAACCATTTGACTTCATGCATCAGTCCTACCATCCTCGGAATCAGTGTCGGATATTGCATATCAGTGAGGTGAGATTAGATAATATTAGGATTTTATTGCATGCAAAATTCCTTCACTGGTGAGAATCTTGTCTTGCTGTTCAATACTTGGTTGGAAAGTGGGACTTTTCGTTGTTGATGGTGAGAAGCTTCACACTTCTGACTTTGTGATTCTCCCAACTCTGTTGCTAGTGTCCACATCATACTGTGCTTTGGAATATTCCATTCAGTGTTCTGGTTGGAAACTGCAAAAACTTTTATAGTAGGAATACAATCGTTTCTGTTCATCGTCTGTCCCTTTGCTCCCGCATTTTTCCCGCAGCTAAACATTGTGTTGCTGGTCCTTTATAAGGCTGATCATAACTTTCCATCAGAGAAAGTCCAGCAAATGCACATTTTAGTGATCAATCCTGAATTTCTATATAATCCTGAGTTTCTTCACCTTCAGTCAACTAAAGTGAATAGGTTTCCAACAAGTGCAAGTAAAAATTTCAGTCCTCTTCCACATTGTCCATCAGTGCTTTAATTCTACTGGTTAAAGGTTCTAAACACATTCTCTCATCTGTGCAGGACCTGTCCAGGTACCACAAGGGAATATTACAGTTGAAAATAATGACACGACAGACACTTTAATTGTCTCCTGGGTTTCTCCTTCTGGCAATGTGGAGAACTTCTTTGTCGTTCTGAATAGCTCAACCATCAGCACGGATACCGTAATGCCTGTACAATTCCACAGACTTCAACCTGGGCGAGAGTACAACGTCACTGTGATTACAAGCAGTGGACCTTTCAATGTTACTTCTGACAATAAGCTTGGTATAACAGGTACGTGAAATGTAAAAAAAAAAAAGCTGGTTTAGATTGAATGTATTTAACTGTAATATGACAGAGGTTTCGTCGTCTTAGAAATTATAAAAAATTAACAAGAATTTACCATCTGCCAAGAGCTCTGAAGCATTTAAGTTTTCACTGGTATAGGATGCTACACATAGTGCCTTCTTAGTAGAACAAAGTCACTGCAGTGGAGTCTTTGGTTGTGCGGAGGCTTTATAACAACAGAAGGTTAATCATTTGAACATGTGAACTCAGCTGCGACATTTATACATTGTCAAAATACTCGTTATTGGTAAATTTCTTGACAAATGCATACAGCGTCAGGACCATGAGCCCCCAGAACCTGTGAATCTAGCCAAAGAAGACAGCAGTATCCTGTGCTAATTTAATACAAACAAATTTCACCTAATTTTAGCCATTGATCTTTTACTGGAGGGTTGCAAACCAACCATCATGACACAATGATATGTAACTGTTAAATTTGACAGGCATGTCTCCTGAAAACGCACCACATGAAACTTGGCATTGTATGGAAGCAACTGTCAACTAAGATGGGTGTACAAAATATTTGGTTTACACGTATTCTTAAGTGCACTTTTATCCAGAGTAAGAAAGGAAAAATATATCATTCCTTGATTGGACCACAACATTCCTTATCCTACTGCCGTTCTCACCCACACATTGGAACCTCTAAATTAGCTCAAAAATACACAAACCAATTGTGAGTTGGTTTTTCTGCAAAACAAACTTAGAGTGAGCACAGAAGATTCTCCAATATATTTCTTACTACCTGCTAGAACTAAGATTCCACTTTATTGAGTCTTGTGAAGTGAATTTTACTTGCAATTTATTTTGGATTAGAGCTCTTGTAGCACAATGGCTAGTCTAGGTTCAAGTCCCACTCCAAGACTTGATGACCAAGCAAAGTCCAGTATGAACCTGTAAGTCCTTCCACCTATCAACAATAGGAGTTGCTAAGAGTTGGCGACATTCCCGATCAGACATGTGATGGAAATAAGTTGGAGTCCCCTACCATCTCTGTTCAGAGCTCTGGACCCACAACCTGACGCCAGAGTGTTACAAAGTGAAAATGTGTCTACAGCAACCTGGACTGCTTGGTCAATGGGTGGAGCAGGTGTAAGGGTCACTCATTCAGCTGGATGGTTGATGTGGCTCAGATTGGTTCCAACAGCATGGGGTTAAATACTATTCTGGCTCACATGTTGCACTCATCAGTATTCATTGGCTTTCTGTCCTGCCTTGACTACTAGCCTGGCAGTGTTTGATTATAAAAATCTCACTCTTATTTTCAAATTCATGATTTTACCCTGTCAACCTTGTAACCTCGTTCCATGATAAAATTTTTCAGGATCTCTGTATGACTCTATGAATCTTTGACTCTACAACTCTACACAGAGGGTGGTTTGTATGTGGATTGAACTGCAAGTATGACTCTGCAGTGTCCCGTTCTAGTCATGTGGGTAACCCTGGTTTAAATTATTCCACCATGACAGAGTGCAGCAAGATTCATAACAAGATAGCTGAATTAATTACACCAATGCAGATAAATTAGTTCAATCTGGTGGACAACACCGAATAGGATGTTTGACTCTTAGAAAACTCAAGAAAAGTGAGAAAGCAAATGTGGCAGGTCAGATATTACAGAATAAAAAAAAAAATAGAGGCAGAGAGAGAATCTGAGCTCAAAATCTCAAATAAAAAACAATAAAGTGCAGAAAGACACCAGTTGGAGTAGTTTGCAGGTTCCCTGACAGTAATAGCAGTGTTAATCCAGTTATAAATGAAGGATTTAGAAGCTTATATAAGTTTTTAAAAATGCAATAATACTGGGCGATTTTAAATTTCATGTCAGCTGAGCAAATCAAATTGACCAAGTTTCAACTTTTGTTTGGTAACATCCTTATCAGTTCCTTGAAACATCATAAAGTTGTTCTTGTTTTTGGCATTGTTGTTACAGTTATCTGTATTTTCCATGAAGATGCCATTCGGTTGCATCCTGGGTTTAGTAAATGTTAAATATTAAATATTAAATAGTAAATATTAAAATTTATGAAGTTTTGTAATCAAACCAGCAATTTTCCTGCAACTAAAGTTCTACTGCCAGCAAAAGAAACTTTGTCACATTTTCCAATCCTTTGTGTCCACCTACCCTCTCCATTATAATCAACTGTCTGTTGTGTTTCACCACCATTCTATTCTCCTGTTTTCCAATTTTCTTCCCCTTCCTCTTCACTTCCTGCCTCCTTAAAATTAGCAGAGAAATTTTAAACTGAGAGACTGATCTTTGCGTATGAATCGCTAATGAGAGCTCTTGTTCTCATTAAATTCTTCACCAAACACAATATGTTGTACACTTTACCCCAAAAGCCATTTTAAAATGGTCCTAGAAATGATGAGTCATAAAGTTTTGATTTTTTTTTTTACTTACGTGAATATTGACACGCCAACTCTTGAAAAGGTTGATATGAAATCCTAATGTTTATTATTTTGCATTTGTTTTAATGTTGTGAAAGAGGAAATTTCAAAAAAAATGTGCTGCATTTCTGCTGTTTTCACATTTCCACTCCAACACTGAAACTGATATAATGTATTCACAGCATCACACAGGCTTTTTTGAACACACAGTATGGATTTCTTATTTGTTTGAGCAGCTCTCTTTTTTTATATACTTACAGAAGCTGTTCTTGTGTATTCTTGATGATGCAGATGCCAGCTCTGATAGTAGAAACCTTACAGAAATCCCTAAACGCGCAATGTCAGGGGTCATTTTAGTCCCCAAGGATATGTGAGTTCGTGTCCAAGTGTGAAGTAAAATCATTCATTAAATGAAAAAAAAATCTTAAATCCTATCAGAGTTATGTTGAACGATGCAGGCAATTAGATCACTATCAGGAGCTGGTTCAAACAATAAAAACTTCTGAGGCTCCATTTTGACAAGTTTTTAAGAAAATAATTTTAACCCATAGAGGCCTGATTTTTGCAGGACTCTGGGGTCCTAGTAAATCACTTTCAAAATCTCCCTTTATCTCTAAGGTTAATAACACTGTTTGTGAACCAGTACAAGCTTCCCTCTTTACATATCCAGTGGAAATCCTGTCATCGTTACCCCACTCTAACTCTCACTACAATCTCCATCTCTCTTCACATCTCCAGGAAAATCTCAGAAATCTCTTGGCTCTTTTCTACCCAAACGCTGTACACACACTTCTTCCAAGACAAAGACCATTTGCTTTTAATGTAGAAAAACATTTGCAAAGTGATACAGAAGCACAATAATCGGGGACCTGGAAATGTTAGTGCCAGTGAGAGTGACTGTTTTGCATCTTTTGTCACCCCCATGCAGTTCCCAGTACTCCTGGAAGGGTTACTGTGACCAACTTCAGCACCAGTTTCATCTCACTAAACTGGGGAGCACCTGCAAACATGGATGTCGGACATTATACTTTCAACGTCACCTACGACAATGGTTCCAATGCTGAGACAATAACAGCAAATACAAACTCCATCACAATTTCAAATCTCACTTCTGGAACTAAGTATTTAATTTCTGTGGTGACTGTTGGACCTGGTAATTTGCCGAGTGGACCTGTGACAATAACTCAATACACAAGTAAGTGTAATTACCAAACCATTGTTTATTTTTTAGAAATGAATTTGTGTTGCTCATTGCTTAGCAGTGCTGTCTCACGGTGGTTCCATTCCAGCCTTGGGTGACTGTCTGTGTGGAGTCGGGAACATTCACTCAGTGTCTGTGTTGGTTTCCTCTCAGTGTTCCGGTTTCCTCCCACAGTTCAAAGATTGTGCAGGTTAGGTGGATTGGCCATGCTAAATTGCCCATAGTGGCCAAGAATGTGCAGGTTAGATGGATCAGCCAGGGAAATGTGAGGTTACAGGCATAGGGCAGGGTGCTGGATCTGGGTGGGATGTTCTTCAGAGGGTCAGTGCAGATTTGATGGGCCAAATGGCCTCTCTCCACACTGTAGGAATTCTATTCTATGATTTGTTTCCTTAGTTTCCCATTTCTTCCTGAATTCTTCCTGATTCCCAGGAATCAAATGCGTTATTTCATGGTTTGCTATCAACACATAACGAGCTGGGTTTGTGAGTGGTGAAGGATATGTAAGGAGGCTTCAAGGTGATTTTAGATAAGTTGAATGAGTGGGCAAATGCTTGACAAATGCACTATAGTGTTGGAAAAATGTGAAGTTGTTCACTTCGGTAGGAAAAACAGAATGACTGAGTGTTATTTAAATGGTATTTGAATGGAAAAAGTTGATGTATAAAGGGACCAGAGTGCCTTGTACACCAGTCATCCAACCAGGCATGCAGAAGCAGCAAGCGTTTGGAAAGGCAAATAGTATGTTGGCCTTCTTGCAAGACGGTTAGAGTACAAGAGGAAGGAAGTCTTTAGTACAGCTATATAGGCCCCTGGCGGGTCTATGCTTCTGGTGTTGTGTGCAGTTTTGGACTCCTTACCTAAGATATACATGCCATTGACAGACTGCAGTTTGTATAAGCTGGAATGACCCAGGCTGTGTTCACTGGAGTTTAGAAGAATGAGGGGTGATCTCATTGAAACGTGCAAGTTTCTGACACAACTAACTCGGATGCAGACCTGATATTCTGGACTCCCAGTATTTGCTCTGCTTATCAAGTTACTTCATGTCACACCCATCTCTACTGCATGTTCATGTTCCCTGCTGAGCTATGTAACCTTCCAAGACCTCTAATCAAGTTTCTATTGTACCTGAAATGTAACACTGTGCAAGTCATAGGCAAAAACTGATCACAACTCACAGTCCCTCTTTGTGTTTTTTGATCACCTGGTGACCAGTCTATCTTCCTAAAGTGACAACTCCTATTCCTGGCACGTGGTTTCACTTAGGTTCTTTTTATTGAAAGATATTATCACAACTGTAATAAATTCAATAATTTATATTGCATATATCTAATAATCTGTCCTTTCCCAGGAACTCGGTTATTGTGTTGGTGATCTTGGATGCCCAATGCCACCTTAAGAGAAATGCAGTTTAAGTTCTTTTTAAGATTACTGCTCATTTAACATTCTATAAATTATCTACCCTCCTACACTCAGCACAAAATCTAAACAATAGCATTTCTCTTCATCTCCCAATCATTTGATCTCTTAGACAGCTACTGAGGTGTCCCTTTGGAAACACCCAGCACCAGGCACTTAATATCTTGATTGCCACAGAATTCATTTGGAACACCTAGCAACAGCCAAGGCAGACTGTTCTACCCTGATGACAAGAAGTAAACTGCTGACCTCTTTTTAGCCCCATCAGTCAGTTGCTGCAAATATTTTAAATTCTTCTGAGCACACAGCTGTGTCACACTGCAAATAAAATTTAGTAGTGGCCAAAATTAAGGAACCAATTACCAGGTTTTCTTGAGTGCAAGAGGATTTTTTGTTAGTCATTAACCCCAAGGGAAAAGAATCAAATGCAACATCAAACATGCACAAAAACGCAGGTATAAAATTTAAAAACAGTGTGTCCGGTACAATAAAATGAAGACTATGCAGTTTGTAAAAGTTCTTAGAGTCTTTGAGTTAGATTCATTGAACCCAAGACTATAGTTGTTTGTATCCTAAGTCGTTTCGAAATTTGTAGAACCTTCAGCTCATGATGAATGGGTGTACTGTGTTTTTATTTCTGTCGCCATTGGTGACTTTTAAGATGTTGAGAAGGAAATGAGGGGAGGGGGAGTCATTCGTTTCTTGATATTATGAATTCCATGTTTTTTTTCTCTTTTCTGGAATACTGTTCACTTATGCATTCCCATGTCTAGCATCATTGTCTTATTCAAACGGAATAATCTACAGGCCACTTTCATCCCAGTGTGTGAAACGTTGGGAAAATAACATCAAAAATAGGAGATGAGGGATTGTTCTTGAGTTTCCATGCCTTTTGATAAAATGTTAATTTCGGCCCATACTGGCTTTATGGTTTCAGGAGTTTGCAATGACTTGGTCACATGATTTCTTTGGCCATCTATAGTCAATGTCTTTACCTTCCCCAAACCGTTTTAGGCAATGAATGTTTTATTCTGGTATTAAAGTAAAATTATGTCCATAGTTCATGACTGGGGTTGCCCCCTACCTCTGGCCTATCGTTGGGACTAGTGGTGTCCATTGTCAAAATTCAGTCCGAAGACTGTGGGAAAGCTTACGTAGGATGAATGGCGTGCTGTATTTATTCACTGCTGACTTCAATATTTGCACCATTGCTTATGTATTATGTCCATCCCCAATAACTGGTTGACTTGAATCATTATTTTCTATAGCTTGCTGATCGTTTTTTTTTTAAAAATGAAAATGTGTTTTTCTTAAACAGAGCCAAACCCAGTGAGGAATGTACAGATTGCCCATGTTACCACAAACTCCATAACTTTTAATTGGACCCAACCATTAGAATACGGAAATGAGTATTCATATAGGGTAGAGACTAAGAAAAGTGGCACATCTTCTGGCAACATTAGAAACAAAATTGTAACAAATGAACAAATTACTGTGGAAGATTTGATCCCTGGAACTAACTATACCTTCAGCATTAGCACCCTGGCAGCAGATAACACATCAGCTGATGCTGTGATGGCATCGAGCTACACAAGTAAGTGCTACAGAATTTCGTGCTTCATAAAAGTAAATTGTATACAAAATCTTTCTCTTCTTCATTTCTCCTCCTGCCTCCTGATAGGGCACCTCTCGCTGTGTCCAAAGATCTTAACAACCTCCCAGTACAGTATCCAAAGTGACCATTTGTCATTTGTATGTCGGTCAACGAGTGTGAGGGATGTTATAGCTCAATCCAACATGCTGCCAACTTGCAATCTACTGTGACTGCATGTTCCAGCTGGAGCAATCCAGTAACAGGCAGGGAACCAGAATGGAATTTTCCTGGAAATAAGATTCAGTGGCATCATTGTTATCACAAATAAACACAGCACTTATCATGAACTAAATATGAGGTGTCTTGGTAGTGCAGAACTGTACCTTAAGGTGTTCTCCAGCCACGGCTTCCGAAACTCAAGTACTTTAACAATTCTGTTTAGGTATCTTTGCGCGTGGAGATTTCTTTTAATGTGTTTTGGTTTATTCCTAATTTGGAAAAGTTTGTGCTCATCATGATGAGGAATATCAACACAGACAAAGTGAAGGTTTTACAGTTTCTTATTGAGTGCCATTCATCCGTCTCAAGCCTGCCCTCCCATTCTGTAAGATCATGGCCGAGCTGCCCCTGGCCTCAACTCCTGTTTCATGTCGTCGACTCGGTGTAGCTCTCAACTCCCTGACACTTCAAAAATCCATCCAACTCCTCTAAATGTTTTCAGTTATCTAACCTGGGGTGGAGATTCCAGACAACCACTACCTTCTGAAAGAAGAATTCCTTTGTATCTCTGTTTTGAATGAGTGTTCTCTTACTAGGTTCCCTAATTTGAGACTCCAACACTCATGGAAACATTTTTTTAACATCTACCCTGTAAAGCCCCCTCAATATCTTGTATCCTTCATTGTCCTAAATTCTAGTGTAGAGATGCCTATTCTGTTTAATGCTCTGTGATAAGTCAAGCCCTTCAACCCAGGATTTAGCCTGGTGGTTAGCTTTTAAACAACCTCCAAAGCCAATATACCCTTCCTTTAATTGTGTCGACCAAAAGTGTATACGCTATCATAAGTGGTAGCCTCCCCAACACCCTCTGCAGTTGTAGCAAGACTTCCTTGCTTTCAAACTTTAACTCCCTAGTAATAAAGGCCAAAACTCAATTTGCCTCCGTAATTATTTTCGACACCTGTTTCCTTCCATTTTATGTTTAATGCCCAGAAACATGTCGGTCTCTTTCTGAGGCGCTATTTTGGAGTTTCTGTCCATTTAAATAATTATCTGCCTGTTGATTCTTCCTACCAAAGTGCATGGCTTAACACTTTCCTGTGTTAAGCTCCATCTGCCAAGTTTTTGTTCATTCTCTCAACCAATCTATATCGCCTTACAAATTCCTTAAGCTTCTGCCACAGCGTGCCCTACGACCTATTTTTGTATCATCAAATTTGGACGCATTGCACTCTGGCACCTACCCCAAGTCACTAATGCAGACAGTAAATAAGTGAATCCCTAGGACTGATCCTTGAGAAACTCTGCTAGATCTGTCTTTCTAGCCAGAAAGCCTCATTAATCTTAATTCTGGCTTCTGTGTTAACCAATTTTCAATCCATGGTAATATATTACCCTCGGTACCATAAGCTCCAATCTTGAGCAATAACCTGCAGTTTCCTGCTTTTGGTCTTCTCCCCTGCATGCACAAAGGTGTCATTATAGATGAAATAACTCCACAGAGGCGGGTATCCCATCTCCAAGTCACACTTTATTTACGTGTGGAGAGCCCTTGACATTGATCCAGGTCCCTCTGAGCTAGCTCTGAGTGAACAGAACCTCTGAGCCTCCTGTTTATATCTGTCAGCCAGGGCTCCCTGATTGGGGCTCTTAATATGGTCCAATCAGGGAACTCCTATTCTATGTGGTCCACCCGGCTAACTCCATTACAACCACTACAATAGGTTTTCCAATCCGTTTTTAATCCAGAGAGTTCTACAGTATTTCACTCAATGCCTCCAATATTTCTGCAGCCTTTATTTCCTTTAAAATTCTCGGATGCAGGTCATCAGATCCTGACAACCTGTCTGCCTTTAGTTACCATTAGTTTGTCAAATATTGAGTAACTTGTGATTAAAAATTGCTACAAGATCTTCCTTCCTATTAGTACTTTGCTAATCTGGTATTTTTAGGATGTTATAGTGTCCTGCACGGTGAAGACTGATGCAAAATGCTCATCCAAATTATCTGCCATTTTTCTGTTCCCTGCTATCAATTCCCCTTGTCTTCCAATAGTCCCACCTTCATTTTAGCTACTTTTTTTTTATATACCCACAGAAGCACTTGCTATTTGTTTTTTTAAAAATTTCTTGCTAATTTACTTTCATAATCAGTTTGCACCTTTTTTGTTAGCTTTTTAGTCATTTGCAGCAGGTAGTTTTTAAAATAAAAAATAAAATTCCCAATTCTCTGGCCTGCTACTAGTTCCCAGCCTTGGTCACCATGCGAAATAGCAAACAAGTCATTCATTTATTTTGATTTGTGGTATCAACTCGACAATTTTTATTCAAATGGTGTATGCATTCGGATAAAAAGGTTTAAATTTAATTTTTTTTAACCACTTTTACTCTCACTGGTTCTGATTTCTGTTACATTCTCCTGCATACATTTTGTTTTTACTCCTTCTTGTCACACTTTGATTACTGTTCACCACTTCTTTTACCCTGCACCCCTGCCCACTCCTTTTCTTTTTGATTATTTTAAATGTCCCTTCAATTGAACTGTCCCAGCCACTAGTTAGTTTAGAGCTGGTTATATGATTTGCTAGGGCACTGGTCCCAATGTAGTTCAAATGAAGTTTGTCCCACAGGACAGCTCCCTCTGTACCCAGTACTGGTGCCAGTGCCCCATGAATTGGAACCCATTCCACCCCCACCAATCTTTGGGCTGCACAATGTTCCTCTAGTCTTATTTATCCTATGCTAATTTGCCCATGGCTCAGGTAGTAATCCAGGGATTATGACATTTGTGGTTCTGCTGTTTTAATTTAGTTCCAAGCTGCTTGCAATCCATCTCTTATTTTTCCTTAGCCTTATCTACATTATTAGGACATGTGTACCACCACAACTGCTTCCTTTCCTTCCCACTACAAGTTGCACGTCCAAAAGATGTCCTGAGTCTTGGCATCAGGTAGACTGTGCAGCCTTCAGAATTCCTTTATTGATGTTGCAGAGAACAATGTCTATTGCCCGAACTATGCAATCCCCTTTTAATATTACCCTTCTGTTTCGTCCTCCCATTTGAGTGGCACTTTGTACTGTGGTGCTTTGGTCAATTTGCTCATCCTCCCTGTGGTGTATGTCCTCATCTACAGTGGGAGTGAGAATCTTGTACCTATTTGTAAAGGTTCCTCCAAAGTTGAATCCTGAACCCTCCCCCCACCCCCACCCATACTTGCCTCACTTGTTGTCACACCTAATGTTCCTGTTCTAGATTTGACATAATTAATAAAAGGGGTGTGACTGCTTCCTGTTAGGGACCAGACTGGTCAGTGCATTGAGTATAGCAGTTGGGAGGTCATGTTGCAACTGTACAGGACATTGATTGGGCCACTTTTGGAATACTGCATTCAGTTCTAGTCTCCCTGCTATAGGAAGGATGTTTTGAAACTTGAAAGGGTTCAGAAAAGATTTACAAGGATGTTGCCAGGTTTGGAGAGTTTGCGCTTTAGGGAGAAGCTGAATAGGCTGGGACCATTTTCTCTGGACTGTCAGAGGCTAAGAACTGACCTGATAGAAGTTTATAAAATCATGAGAGGCATGGATAGGGTGAATAGCCAAAATCTTTTTCTAGTTCAAAACTAGAGAGCATAGGTTTAAGGTGAGAGGGGAAAGATTTAAAAGGGACCTAAGGAGCAACTTTTTCACTCATGGGGTGGTGCATGTATGGAATGAGCTGCTAGAGGAAGTGGTGGAGGCTGGTACAATTACAACATTTAAAAGGCATCTGGATGGGTACATGACTAGGAAGGGTTTAGAGGGATATGGGCCAAATGCTAGCAAATGGGACGAGATTTATTTAGGATATCTGGTCAGCAGGGATGAGTTAGACTGAAGGGTCTATTTCTGTGCTGTACAGCTCTATAACTCTAAAAGACAAACAACCGACAAAAAACTATTTAGAAGATACCCTGTACCCTCACGCTTTCTTATCTTAAAGGTAAGTGTAAGGTGTTGCACTACAGATGCAATTTGATTGGTCAAACTACTCAACTTCAAACAAGGTTTATTTTATTTTTATACGGCAGTTAAAATACAGACAAAATAAAAAAAAAAATTGGCTTAACTGTAACTCTATCGAAATGCTTAACAAAATAATATTTATTGACTTTTACTAATTAACTGTTCCAATATAGTACCATCCCATAAACACACCCTTGCCAAAGGCAAATTCAGTAAAATAGATTGTCACATATGCAATTCTAGCAGCAGGAAGAGAATCCCAGCGTTTTGCTGTAACCAGGAGAGGAATAAGAATTCCCACATCCAGCTTCAAAGCCCCAGCAACTGCAGAAAGCTAAAACTAAAAATCCTGGTTCTGTGGGAGCCTGATCCCACCCATTCAGGCTGCTTCTATTGTTCCAATTTTTAAAAAAAAAACACCCAAGGCCTCACAAGCTATTTACTTTATTTGATTTGAGTAGACACTCTCCTCAACCTCTATTTCAACCTTCCTTCATTTAAAACATCAGGACAAAATACACCTCTTAAAGCCATAGTATCATCACACTCCTGAAACCATTTCCTCTGCACCCTGACGTGTTGCAGAGACCATAGCTCAGGCTCCATCTCATGAACTCTGAGCCTGTGTCCATCACGCAGCCAACGCTTGCTGCAGATGCGATTACTATGGATCTCACCAGTTTCCACCAGCTCCATATATCATGATATGGGACATTTTCAATGCAGAGATTTCCCACCTGTTACACTGCAGCCATGAATTATAACTGAATCTACTCCCTGCAAGGCATTTATTGCTGGAATGGTTGATAAAGAAGTTCCTACAGCACAGCCCCAACAGAGTTTCAAATTCAAACATCTAGTGCTGCAAAAGTATACATTTTCTGCTCAGTGAATTCTGAGTAAAATCCCAGTGCTTTTATTTCCCCCCCCCAACAGGGTTAATCAAGATTTGAGGTAATGGTAGGCTAGGTTTCTAAAAAGAACTTTCCATCCAATGACCTTTCCAAAGGTCAAGGAATCCAAGAGAAAATGGCGTGACCCAAAATTAGGGAGCAAGTTGGAAAACATTTTCTTCAACAAGGCAGAGCAGAAATCTGGAATGTTCCCCCTCAAGAGAAAGTGAGATACTGGTGGTAGATTTTCTCATCCAAAGAAAATCTAAGGATGTGGAGTTGAAACAAATAAGCCAAGTTGAGTTGGAAATACAGATCAACCATGAGTGATTTTAAGGGATGTTTCTGATCCTATTCTGTTGCTCTGGGATTGACTCTTCCTAACCAAACTTTCAACACGTTTCTTTGTATCTGAATAATCTTGACAGATTCAAACTTCTTTCAACATTGCAGGACCTATCCAGATACCAACTGAGAACATCACTGTGGATAATAACGGCACAACACGTACGTTGATCATCTCCTGGGATGCCCCTCCTGGCAATGTGGAGAAATTCTTTGTATATGTTCAAGATACAGGAGGTGCAACGCAAGTCCAAAGCGCAGACTCCACGTTGCCTCTAACATTCACCAACCTTCAGCCTGGGAGAGAGTACAGTGTCACTGTGGTAACTAACAGTGGACCTTTCAATGAAACCTCTGACATTGTGCGAGGTGTAACAGGTATGTGCAATGTAAGAAAATCCGTTTGGATTAAATGCGTGCTACTGGAATGTGGGAAGGCTTCAACTTATCAGATATTGTTTTAAAAAGTTAATAGTTTATTAAGCCCCCCCGCCAGTTCTATTCAACCTGAATCACTGCAGTGAAGCTGTCTATAACGTTTCACCATTGCTGATTGTTCATTTGGCTTGGGTACAAAACATTTGGGATGTCATCCAAAAAGAGAGACGAGCTTGCCCGAACCAGAATTCACAGCCAATGAAGCACTATTGAAATGTAGTCATTATTATAACTAGGTAAACACAAAATAAGAAATATTACGGCATCACTAGCATTGACCAGTTGACAGTGAAGCTTTTCAGTGTCTGTTCTGATGATTTACAAGTTCTGTGGTCCTGCAGTGAATTTGATGATCATTTGCGTATCAACCCTTCCTTGAACTGCAGTTTGACAAATTAAACTATTGCAATGCTTGAATCATTAGAATTTGATTAGTTAGTGAGCTAGTTTTGTTCTGCATCACATTAGAGATACTGGGTGGTTTAAGATTGATAAACCTAATTTCACTTACATTTCTTCTTCTGATTTAGATTTATCTCTCCAGATCTGGAAGGGACTTTAACTTGTAGATCAAGGGTGATGGCATAGGTTATGCAGGGTCTCAATCGAAGGCTGCAATTAATGTCTCTCTCATCTCCTAGCATTTCATCCCCCCTGTTCCATTCCCTCTCAGACACATGTCCTAATACTATAAGACTACACTATCCATTTATTACCAAATTTGGTACTGGTTTGGTGATCTTGCATCAGTCCTCAGTCTTGATCACTTGGAGTGATGATTGAACTTGATAGAAGTTCTTCCACGTTGAGGAATAGTAAGCTGAGAAATATCTCAACTCCGTTTAGAAGTCAGTATACATTGATTCACATGAAGTAATGTTTTTGTATTTGTCTCCTCTCAGTTCCCAGCATTCCTGGGGCTATCAATGTGACTGACTTTGGTACAACTTTCATCACATTAAACTGGGGACAACCTGCAGACATGGTTACTGGAAACTTTAGCTTCAATGTCACCTACCACGATGGTTCTGTTACCAAATCGGTAGAGGAAAATACATTATCCACCAGAATTACAAATCTTACTTCGGGAACTAATTATACCATCTCCGTGGCCACCGTTGGACCTGGACAATTGCAGAGTGACTTTGTGTCAATATCTCACTTCACCAGTAAGTGTAATAAGGCATTTGATAACTAGTATTGATAAAGGGGTTGGGTTTGCAATTATTCATGGGTGTATGATCGTATGGGCATGCTTTGACAGTAAGATCCTGAGATGGTCTGGCAAACTACTGACACCTCCAGAACATGTCACTGTTTCCAGAATAAGAGGTTGGGGTGGGCCAAAAATCCATATGCTTTTGATTATTAGCCCATTAAGTTCCTTAAAGAGCTGTTAATGGCATGGAGAGGGACATAAGATGATATTTCAAAGCAGAGAACAGAACAAGGGGAGTCATGGTGCGGTGGTAGTGTCCCCGCCTCCTGGGTTAGAAGATCCATGTTAGATAGCAAGCTCATGGAATGACCATAGAATGTATACAAACACCACTAATGTGATCGTGATGTGACCATGAAGCTACTGATTATTTGAAAACATAATTAGAAGAAAATTTTCCAGTCTGTCTTGATCACATCTGTGAAGTGACGCCTCTAAACTAGCTTTACAAGTCACTCACTTGTATCAAATTGCTAGGAGGCAACTGACCAACAGTAGCAACTAGGACTGAGCAATAAATGCCAACCATACCAGCAACATTTATATTGTCAGTGGGTAATATTTTGCTTTTTAACCCTATTTCTACCAGCTCTGTCAAATTGGTTTTCGTGTTTCGTGAACTAAATTGGCAGATGTCCATTTAAGTGGATTTGTCCAAGCTTCAAACAATTGTTTAATGATTCTGGTGCGACTTTGGCATATTGGAAACTAACAAGTTTTAAGGCATGCTTGGTCTTGCTGAAGCTTTTAACAGATGGAATTCATAATTTGTTATCCTGATTCCTCTTTATTTGTAAAAATTGATTTTTAGTTCACAGTGATCATTGGGGACAGAAGTCCAGGACACTGACACATTGTATTCAAACTGATGGCATTCAGTGATAAGAGTCTGAAGTGCACTGGGACAGAGCTGTGATTTCCCCATAACAGCTTTACCTCACGGTTATCTGGAGGTTGCAGCCAACAAAATTGAGTGTTTTTTTTGTAGTAATTTGCATATATATCATTTTGATTGAGAGAGCCACTTGATGGGACTCCAGTATCCCTGTAGATCATTCATTGGACATGAAGTGACTCCATCCTTCTTAAACATATCTGTTTAAATGTTTCCCTTAACAGAGCCAAATCCTGTAAATGGCCTACAAATCGTGCAGTTTGACTCAACCAGCATAAACCTGAGTTGGGCAAGACCAGAGCAGTATAAAGTTGAGTACCGATACAGGATATTGACAGCTGGAAACACACCACCCATGTTTGATGATGGAAATCAAACTGTAGCAAATGAAAACGTTACCGTGACGGGACTGATACCTGGTACCAAATACATGTTTTCGGTTATCACTCTGGCAGGGGATGGCACTGAAGCAGATCCAGTTTCGATATCCAATTATACAGGTAAAAACATTTGGAATGTGGGAATTAAATTAGCTGCCTGAAATGAATTTTTTTTAAATGTGTGTTCATTCTGTGGTCACATTAGTTGTAATGGTGCTGCTCTTAAGCCACATGCCAGCAAGATCCCAGGGTCAATCCTGAATGTGGGATAAGTTAGCTGGTTTCGGTAAGAACACTGAAAGGAAGTGTTACTATCACATTGCAACGGGAAAGAGTACCAAAAACCATTTATGCTTTTAACTGTTTTGCAGTGGTCTCTGCTGGAGACTGTGTGAACAGCAGGTGAGGATAGGTAGTCCACACTTAAGCTGTCGATGTTCCCTAAATGGGAACACTCATCGTAAACAGACAATGGAACTGCCTTTCGAGCCATATCCCAGTATGAATTATTGGTATCCAAACAAGGGTTGTGTGCAAGTCCTTACTGCTGGTTTTAAGAGAAATGGTGTGAGTTTACCTCCACAGCTATTCAATAATATTGTCTCCTCATGTGAGGCACTTTACAGCAATTTAACGTATGGAGAGAAATACCAAGTTCAGAAATAATGGAGAGTTTGATTCACAGCCCCAAATAATATTACAAGGTGCATGATTAGCACAGATGCAGATCTGGATCATTGCAGATTTCAATCATGAGTCTTCGCCAGCACACATTGCCGCAGACCTTTGAGATCAGAAAGCGGTGAAGTACGTGTGAGCTGCAGATAGTATCATGGAATGCTAAGAGTTTGACTCTCGTTAGGCACTTGTGGAAATGATTGTCTTCCATATTCCCAAATGTCCAAAACGGAAGAAGATCCAGTGGTTGTGATAATTGCTCCTATCACTTTTTTGAGTTCCACAAACATCAGTCAGCACTTGATTGTCAAGTTGACACCTGGAGAGACCTGAAATGAAGAGAAGAAATGGCTCCAAAAGTATCTAGCCACAAAAGTTAATGATTACTGTGAACTTTTTTTGTGAAATATGACTGAGTATAATTGGAATTCCTTCCCCTCAGAATGGTTAAAAAAAAACCATTGAATAAACTGAGCAGGTTGGAGAACTGAAACTGCTTATTAGACCTTACCCCATGGATTCCACTTGCAGTAAAGCTGTAAATCTCCTTTTATCACTGCTTTAGCTCCAGTATAGCACCTACTGTGCATGTGACCACCAGACACAACTGACCTTAATAAGACAATCTCACAGAATGATAGACTGGTAAGGAAATTGGGAATACTGATGCATGGGAGGGCACTGGAGGGTTACGTTATTGGGATGGGCAAGAGAGAGATTAGACTGCATCTACCCTTTACTGTGAGGTGCAGTGGTAGTGATCCTACCTCTGGGCCAGAAGGCCTGGGTTCATGTCCCACCCACACAAAGCTGCATCATAAATTGTACAAACAGGTTGATTAGCAATCTATTAAAACAACCATGATCCTCCAGTCGGCAGTGACCTTGGGCACACACTGTTTGTAAAGCTTCTCCTGATCCAATTCTGCCTTCCGTTTCTTACAGGATCATCTGGTCATGGCTGGTGGAGGAATAGGTCATCTCTCATCCAAACCCAGCGAGCGAAGTTGAGGGAGGGAGAGCACCAACCCCTTTTTATCTTTTAGGGCACAAGCTGCCATTTTCAATAAGATATTAAATGTCTATTCTTTCAATGAGTGAGTTTTTAGGTCTGGAAGGGCAATTGAGAATGAGTAGGAAGTAGTCAGGTCCAATGAGTTCAGGTGGATTAGAATTGTTGAATTCCCTACAATGCAGAAAAAGGCTTTTTGGTGCATCAAGTCTGCACCAAACTTCTGAAGAGCATTCCACCCAACCCAACCCATACTGGCTCCCTGTAACCCTGCATTTCCCATGGCTGACCCACCCAGCCTGCGCATCCCTAGACGCTATGGGGCAATTCAGCATGGCCAATCCACCTAACCTGCACACCTTTTGGGTTAGTGGGCAGGTCAGGGGTTAATTGTTTGCTGTAAAGGTGGACAAGTAGAATATAGTCAGGTCTGGTTGGGTTGTCAGGCAAGTGACAGAGAAGGTCAGTTGTGGAGTTACCTAGATGTTAGACTTTTTTTTTTTTTAAAAAAGCCATCTAACATTTTTTGATAAAGTTGTTTGCATCTCGTCCAAGCCCAGAACCCAGAGTTCAGGGCCAGAGACATTTGCAGAGAGTCCTGTGCAGCAGGGAACTAGTTCATCAGCAGTTTAAACTATGCGAGTAATTCCTACCAATGTTGAGATGTCTAAACTCCTCCAGGGTCTTGGTACACTTTTCCTGGAGAATGTCTGAGGTTCCAGACGTTACTGGCATGTTGTAGAATTTGCAACTATACATTTTATAATATATCTGTTTGTGAATAAATCTCAAATTGAGTCAAGAGTGACTTCTGGTCTCGTCTTACGTGTGGCTATAAGAAGTGTTAATACAAAGAAGCGCGACAAAAAAAAAATGTTTTGACCAAGTTTTGGTTTAGTGGTAATTCTGTTTAAAATTTTGTCATCATAAGCTGTGATACCAAGTTTGTCACAATAGAGGATTCAAGTTTTGTATGTGGTAAGCTCAGAAAGAAATAATTCACACTTACTGCTTCAGATTATATGTGAGTGGTTAATTAATTAAGCTCTGGAAAATCCCAGGAGCATCCTTTAGGAATGTTGAAAGAGCATTGTTTATTTGTACCTGAGAGTCCATTTGAAATTCTGTGGGTATGTTTGATAATTTCTTAGAGACAGATGTTTGGATTAATATTGGCTTCTGCAGTGTTGAGAAATATGTCAAAATAAAACTTATAAGTTACTAAGAAAGGGTGACATTAGTACCTGGTTGCAATTCTGTTTTAGGTTTTGAGCTCCGGTTGCTGTAAGGATTTCTGTTGTCAATATAGAACAATATTGTGTCATTTCATTTTCTTCTCTTTATTAAATACATTTGGTTAATAGTTTAAAATCTAAAATAAAGTGTAAGTTCTAATATTCTACTTGCGAGAGAACAAAGAAGATACTATAAAGGTGCAGGTTGTGTTACAAGGTTGAAAGATGCATTTTCCTCTTATGTATGCTAGAAACACTGTGAACATGCATATCATTTCCACCTGAAATCATTAGCTAAAAAAAAAACAGGCTTGGGTTGTGCAATATCTTTGATCTGTACCATGAGTGTAGAAATTGAAAATCCCCAAATGTTTTCTTCCTGTTCTTTTGGGATATTAATGAGACCTTACTTGGATCTCCAAGGTGTAAACAGTTGAATTTTCTGATAGAAAGCAATCGAGAAGTTAAAGGGTAGAAAATATTAAAGTAGAGCCAATATGTCAGGGGATGTGAATGAGTGTAAGACAGCTCTTTTGCATACGCAGAGTCTCATGGAAGTGTCTTGGTGAGATGAAGCCAGAATGTCTATGACATTATCGTACCATCTCCCACTGTGATGCTCTAATGCTGCTTTATTTCCAAACAGAACCTCTGAAAATACCAGTGGGAAACATCACTCTGAACCATGAGGACACAACTGACTCATTGAGAATTTCCTGGATCCGCCCACCTGGAGGTGTTGAGAACTTCACTGTTGACATTGAAGATTGTGCAAATCCATCAGCATTCAAGAACAGCACCACAGTGACATCATCAACAAATACCGTCATGTTCAACAACTTGCTCCCTGGGAGATTGTATTGTGTAAACTTGACAACAATAAGTGGGCCCCATCACATAACTTCAGATTCTGTAAAAGAGGCCACAAGTAAGGATAAAGTATATTTAATTGTCCTTTACTAACAACATTTTCTTTCCAAACTTATGAGGAATGGGACTGTTCTGCCCAACTTGTTTCCTCACATCTTGACTATTTTATTTCTCATCTTATGTAGTCTGGTGCAACTTTTCTAAATTCCTCTGCTACTTTGCTAAAATTAGATTGTCCAGCCTTAACAGTCATCTCTTGGACATTAAACAGAGCCTCAGCTTTCTTAACCAGTGCTCCAATAAGTTCCCTCCATTTGGCTGAGCTTTCGTTCATTCAGAATGACTTTTTTAACTATACTCTCTTCAATCAGATAAAAACTATGACTGTGGGATCATGAAAGTGTCTCAGATTTCCTTATCCTTGTGAAAGATATGTAGGACATTTCATCTTCCAACATGATGAAGCCTCCGTCCTGGATACCATCTTGTATAATTTTGTTAACTGTGCTGAGGTTGCTTCTTCCAACTGGCCTAACATTGGCTGTTAGTTGTGAAACTGGAGCTGATACAACAACTGTCCATTCAACATCTGCTTGTTACTCTGTTATCCAAGCCCCTAAATGCTTGTGGTGCACAACCACAGTTCCTCCTCATGATGCATCCTCCCTCCGCACAATGGAGACCAGGTACAGATTGGGTGACTGGTCCTCCAAACTAGTTTCATTAGTGTAACCCTGATCTCCCTATAGTTTGCCATTATTAATTCCCTTGCCTTTTCTCACTGTGTGGTCTTTCCACTTTTTAAACTCCTTTTTAAACTGTGTCAGCGTACCTGATATAGAATTGTTGGGCTTGACGATCTGAAGAATAACTTAAGCAACTTCAGACTTTAGTTATGCCCTTCTTTTTCATCTGAGCTTTTACACTAGGGGCACAAATTACATCTCGATAGCACCACCTTTGAACGACGTCATAGAAGGCAAGTGCCCATCTGGTGATGTGTGCTGCACAGTCAGCTACTTCCACAATGGTGCACAAGAGTGCCACTGTGTGGTCATCGCAGGTATGCCTGAAGAAGGAGCAGTATTTCTGACATCTCACTGTAGCTGCTGTAGAACCAGATTTACCTCATTTGGATGAAGCAGGGCCAGACAATCAATTTTCACATCACTCTACGAAGAACAAGTTCTGAGCTGCCAGATGGGCGCTTTTTCTGTTGATATTTAAAGGCAGAGCAAACTGGAAGGTGAGGTTTCTTTCAAGAGTTATTTTTGCTGAGGCTGAGTTTGTGGATGCTCTATACGTCTTTTTTTTTGAGAGCTGGTGCTTAACAGTCAAGGACAGACTGTAAAGAGGAATACCTGTCTCAAGCCCGACCACTGTGATTGCAACACCTCTTGATCTGTGTGACAGCCAGGACCTCATTCAGGAAGAGGGGAAGCTGTGCATGGAGGGGGGAGGAGGAAGAGTTGGAAGAGAGACCATTCCAGACTTCCTTCTAACAAAGCAGGTTATGAGAGAATAGATCCTTCTGAGCTTTACTCCCCCACACCAATGTGGACCAACCATTCGATTGATCTGAGATGCTCCATCACAACATCCCCTGGGCCACCATCCTACAAACAAATACAAACACCAACAAATGTCTCCAGCTTTCACATAATTTTTTTTTTATCCAACTGTACTTCTCCTTATACAAGCAAAGAGGAACCACTCCGTCTTGTCCAAGCCCATTAGCGCCAGGTATCTGAAACAAGGAAACCACAAGAGGAGGGTTTGGGTGATGTCGGAGAGCAGGTCACACCAACTGGAGCTTTCCCTTCATGTCACACTGCAGGCCTGTGACTCTAAGCATCATCTCAAGGAGACTCAGGTTGAAGTTGTTGTGCCAGTCCCCCATACCCACTGATCATTTCTGTTCTTCACCCTGCTGTTACGTATGACCTTGTCCTACAAAAAGAAGTGACATGATACCAGTGATAGGGTGACACTTTTGTAGCCTGTATGATGGGAGTTATGTGGGGACAGGGAGAGCTAAATGTGAAATGATAAACATTTGAAAGTGTGTGAAGAGGATCAGGAACATGGGACAGGATGAAGGGAGAGTCCTAAGACTGGGTAAGAGCTGTTGGGTGATAATGGGTCTGTGGCACACGAAGCTGTGGGAGAGGTCGGATGTGAGGTGCCATTTGAGGGTGCCTTCGCTGACCTTGGCCACAAGTGTGAGGTCAGAAAACCTGTTGGGGCACTTTGTCTAGGTGCTCAAACCCGGACTCTGGCACCTGTCTCCGTTGCCACACGCTCTCACTCCCTTTGGAGCCTGCTATGTGAGGGCTGCTCCCACCTTGACAAGGCATGGCCCTGTCTGGGGCATCACTACTCTCCATGTGGTATCATTAAACCTTCTCCTTTGCCTATTGCGTTTTGTTTTTCCTGACCTTCAGTATTCCAAAGTCAGCAAGCTATCGGTCTTCAATTCAATAGTACAGCCTCCCTTTAGGAGAAGCAATTTTATCTTCAGGAAGCAAGCTGCAGCAAGCTAGTCTTAACATCCTGTTGCCATCTGTAGCCAGTAACTTGGGGAGTACACTGACTACACACCACAGTCGTGGTAATGAGGTGCCAATGTGACATTTCCATGCCCGGTATCTCCAGCAGACCAACACAAGCAGATGATAACATTCAGTCTTGCCATCTGAGGGAAACCAGGGTTTGGCCCTCCCTCTCCTGGTATTTTGGAAATTGGGAACCAGCCTGGTTACAGCTGTGGACAGTTTTCATCAGCCAGTAATTTTTTTTTAATATATTCACTGACGGGATAGAAACAAAATTCTGAATGCTCACTGACGTTCTGTGGCAGAAGTTGGTTGATTGACTGTTTTAACAGAAGACCAGAGAGTGATTCCTGTTTATTTAGTAAAAGGTATGTCAAATGCACTTTTTTATTTGGAAAAATAGTCTGGGTTTCTGCAATCATTGACAGTTCTTCTTTGGAACAATAAATCGCATCCCTTGCAAAAGTTAGCCTGACTCTATTAATATCACAAACTGGGTGGGGGAGTTCTCTGAAATGACAACCGTCCCAGTGGTGTAGGAAAGGATGGGAGTACTGCATCTAGACTCCTGACTCATACCCTTATCTCATTCTGGCATAAGTGGCAGGCATCCTGGAATCAGGTCCTGCCCTCCAGTTTGAAACAGCTTTGACATGGTTAGAGCCAGGGCAATCCAGGCCTATCTGTCTAGCAACCTCTGTTTTTATTCCAAAGTTCTAACTTAGTTGGGTGGCCTACTGAGTGAAGCATGATCGTTATGCTGCTTTGTATCTAGTCTGCATTGATGGAATGAAGGTCACCCATGCTGTCCATGAAAATCCTTCTCGTAGGAGTTTGTAGAAACACACTGGTTGTTCAGATGGTGGGACAAAGGTAGCAAGTTAGTAACTCAGCAGTCATGTGGTCAAATTAACGAAAGAAATGTTTTCAAAATCTGTCATTTGGCTCAGGACACACTGAAGGAAGGATGCATTTCTGGGGCAGCTTCCCTTGACTGATCAAATTCTATACACCAGGTTGGTCACCACGTTTGGTTTCTGTTGTAGTTGGTGATGAGTATTATTGTTTTAGAAATACTAAAATGGAAGTTTCTTTGGGGATTTGTGATCATGAGATGTGACAATGATTTGTGTTATGGGACGTATAGCAATCAATTCTGCCCATTTAATAATAATGCTTAAATAGTGCAAAATAAAGATTGAGTCAGCACAGTTTCTTAAATCGGTGTTTCTTCTATATTTTGCTCAGGCAAAAGATTCCCTGATATAACTTTATTTCTTCCACAGTTCCCTCACCACCTGGACCCATAGAAGTGACTAGCTTCACTAATTCCACGATTGACTTTGCCTGGGGAAGGCCTGAGAATATGGATATTGGAACTTACAGTTTTATTGTTACCTACCAGATAGCTCAAACAGCAAATAACATGAATAAATCTATAGAAGATAACAAATCCAGCATTGACAACCTGGAGTCCGGAACCAACTACACCATAACTATTGTAACTACAATCCCTCAAAATTTGCATAGTACCTTTGTAACATGCTCCCACTTTACAAGTAAGTTTCCTGTGCTGTATCCTTCAGAGTAGACTTTTTTTGGCTATTCAAATGAATGAATATTTTTGACTTTTATATTGGTAGTGTCTTTTTAAGAGATTTCTAAAACTAAACTTGGTAAATCTTTCAAATAATGCCACCTGAATGAGTAGAACTGCGTGAATATGTTAATTTCATCTGTTGTTACATTACTAGTCAGTTTCTATTAAGAAGCTGAGTCTGGTTATGCAATGTAACCTATACTCTGTCTCAGGATTGATGCTTTCCATAATTAGTAGTTGCAAGTTCAAGACCGAGTTTCCAATAATTAATGCCCTTTCCTCAAAGAGTTTCTGGGAAATGAGTGCTGTGTGACCTTTTCTCTTGCTATCTAATGCACGCAATTAAGTCAGAAGCCACACGACACCAGGTTACGGTCCAACAGGTTTATTTGAAATCTCACAAGCTTTCAGAGCGCAGCCCCTTCGTCAGATGCAGCATCACTTTCTCTACCTGAGTTAGTTTGTACAGTTTTAAATTCGGCATGTGGTTCTAGTCATTTAGTTTGTCTCCAGAACCACCTTATTTTTAGTGTTTTGTAATCATCTCTCTGCCTCACTTAATTGGATTATATGTCATGCCTTCATTGGTTATTCAGCTTGTTGACCCTTTACTCACCGGCTAACACTCCTGGTCACCTGCAGAGACTTATCAGACATTCCACTCACACCAGTTTTATGATCTTAAACTCTGCCTATAAACTCTGTGTCTGTGTGCTCTGCTGTCTTCCTGCACCTGACGAAGCAGCAGCGCTCCGATTGTGTGATCTCAAATAAACCTGTTGGACTATAACCTGGTGTCATGTGACTTCTGACTTTGTTCCCCCCCAGTCCAACACCAGCACCTCCATATCGCACAGTTGAGTTTGAGTTTGTGGATGAACGTTAAATAATGCAGTGCATGGTGAGACTGTGGTTGATAGTTCCAGGTTATAGCTTCGTAACCAGAATGCTCCAAGACAATGTGTCTGTGTCTCTTCTTATGAAGACTTTTGCATTTTGAGCAGGCTATCACAGGGCGATTAACAAGAAAGACATCAAAGGTTGCAATCTTCAGATTACTTTCCGTAATATGTGTTAATATGTATAGAAATAGGAGGACAGCGGAGATGAATAAAAAAACCGAAAGAACTGCGAATGCTGTAAATCAGGAACAAAAACAGAAGTTGCCGGGAAAGCTCAGCAGGTCTGGCAGCATCTGTGAAGAAAAGATCAGCGTTAACATTTCTGAGGAAGGGTCGCCGGACCCGAAACGTTAACTCTGATCTTTTCCTCACAGGTGCTGCCAGACCTGCTGAGCTTTTTCAGCCACTTCTGTGAGTGAAGATGAATGCCTCACTAGAAAGATGGTTCCAGTGGGGTGTCTTTACATTTTTGCGCTATTGATGACACCCTCCATCTTTACTGATGATTGAGAGTAGACTAATGGGGCGGTAATTGGCTGGGTTAGAGTTGTCCTGCTTTTTATGTACAGGATTTACCTGGGCAATTTTCCACATTGTCAGGTAGATGGAAATGTTGTAGCTGTACTGGAACAGTTTGGCTAGAGACGTGGCAAGTTCTGGAGTGTAAGTCTTCAGTACTATTGCCTGAAAATTGTCAGGGCCCACAGCCTTTGTAGAATCTGGCTGGAAACTATTACAATACCTTCAGCCTTATCTTTTTCACTGATGTGTTCAAGTCGATAAGTTGCCAGGGTCAGATTAGATGCTTACAAGAATTCTGCAGGAAATAAGTCCAGTCGTTCATAGTATTACAGTCTCTCATAACAAGTAGATTCTTTCCATAAAGTTAAATAAGCTTAAGAAGAAAGCAAAGAACACCAGATAATCTTTAACTGATGTGTTTTTTTTATCTTCAGAACCAAACCCCATCAGAAATCTCAAAGTCGTCAGTAAGAACACTGTATCTATAAATCTGTCTTGGGATGACCCACTTGGGCACAGGAGTGAGTACAGGTACAGAGTGCAAACAGATGACAGCCCATCTTCCATTAGGGTGATCAATACCAATTTTTCTGTGATCAGTGACTTGACGCCAGGAGCTAATTTCACGGTCAACATCTCCACTCTAGCTGCAGATAACACTGAATCAGACTTTGTAACCTTAAACCAGTGCACGGGTAAGTGCTGAAATTACCAACTGTTTGTCAACTTGTTTGCCCTGATCTCTATTATTAGGATTCAAAGACAGAAATTGCTCCAGTTCTGCATACGTGCTTCCACACGCATGCTCCTCGTGCGCACACATTTTCACAGAAAAAGACCGGATTTATTTACGTGGACGTGGAATATGAAAACAAACGAGCAGCTCCAGTGCCTGAAAGCAGAGTCAGAGGTTCCAATTTCACACTGGACACAGAACCCACGAGTGAAATAAACCCATAATCAGTTCGAGCGCTGAAAGCAGAGTAATAGAAACCCGAGTTTTAAAAAGAGAAAGTAGAGTCATGGAGCTGTACAGCATGGAAACAGACCCTTCGGTCCAACTCATCCCTGCCGACCTGATATCCTAAATGAATCTAGTCCCATTTGCCAGTATTTGGCCATATCCCTCTAAACCCTTCCCAATCAAGTACTCATCGGATGCCTTCTAAACGTTGTAACGTTACCAGACTCTACCTGAGCCTGTGTTTGTTTCAGTTTCTCATCTACTGGGACCATTTTCTGCAGAGGACCCAAAAGGCTGCCCCAGCCACACTGCTTGATGCTGGTTCAATCACCTGGATACAGTATGCCAGATGGAATCATAAATAATTGCAGTGCAGAATGAAACCATTTAGGGCTGCCTTGTCCATGCTGGTTCTGTACAGGAGCAGTTCACTTTGTGCCACTCCTTCGCATGTTCCTGCATGGTTTTCCAGTAAAGGTAGTGATCCAATTCCTTTTTGAAGGGTATGGTGGAACCTGTCACCTCTCAGACTGTGCGTTCCTAACCATTCACTGCATAAAGTCTTCTTCCACATGTTGCAATTGCTTCTTTAACCAATGATCGTACCTCTATTTGCTTTATTTCTCCACCTTTTAACTAATGCAAACGTTTTTTACCCCCGACTAGTTTATCAAAAGCTCATAATTTTGAATACCTCTCTCATCCTATCTTGACCTTCTCGAAGGAAAATAGTCTAAACTTCTCCAATATACCCGTGGAACTGAACTTCCTTGTCCCTGAAGCCATTTTCATAACTCTTTGTACACCCTCTTGATTATCTTCACATTCTTCTGCAAGTATAGAGCCCAGAACCAGGTCTGGGTGGGATGTCTGAGGGTCGGTGTGGACTTGTCGGGCCGAAGGGTCTGTTTCCACATTGTAGGGATTCCGTGGTGATGAGAACCAGATGCAGTATTCTAGTTGAGGTTGAAACAATGTTTTGCATAAGTTTAAAATAATTTCCTTACTTTTGTATCTGTTTTTGTAAAGCCCAGATTGACATATGTTTTAACTGCTTTCTCAGTTGTCATCCCACCTTCAATGGTGTACATATAAAACCAAGTACAGAATTGTGCCCAAAAAATAAACAAAAAAACTGCAGATTCTGGGAATCTGTAAAAGAAACAGAAATTGCTGGAGAAACTCAGCAGGCCAGGCAGCACCTGTGGAGAGAAAGTGTAGTTAACATTTCAAGTCCAGCAACCCTTCTTCAGAACTCCACTCTGAAGAAATGTCACTGGACCTGAAGTATTAACTCTCCTTTCTCATCACTGATGCCACCAGACCTGCTGAGTTTCCCTATATTTTCTGTTTTTGTTACAGAATTGTGCCCTCTCTATTACTGACACTGTACATTTTTCTTACTAAAATGAATCACCACACTTTTTACTGCAATACATTTCATTTGGCTCTTGTCCAACAGTTCCACAAACTTCTCTGCGTCAATTTAAAGTTGTACACTGTCTTCACAGTTCACACTGTCTCCAATTTAAATATTGACTGTAAATTTCAAAAATTTTCCCTGTTCACCAAGGTCTATACTGTTGCTATATATGAAGAAGATTTGGGGGTCCTAACACCAATCCCTGGGGAACTCCACTACAGACCTTTCACCAGTCTGAAAACAATAGCAATTAGCCTCAACTCTTTGTTTCCTGTCAATCAACCTTGTTATAGAGTTCCCTTAAATCTATGAGTTCTGACTTTGAATGCAATCTGCTGTGTGGCACTTTAGCAGATGCCTTTGAAAATACATATACACTATATCAACAACATTACTGTACCTTGATCATCCTCTTTGATACCTAATCAAAAAAAAATCGAGCAACTTAGACCTAATTTTCCCTTAACAAATCCATGATGGCTTTTCTTAATTTGTTCCCGTTTACCCAAATATGTGATTACAGTAGAACTTTGCTACCATCTCAACATGGCTGCACTAGCAGGCTAAGACCACCCACTTTGCCAAGCTTCACAGAAACTATTTTTGGGAGCAAAACAAGACCAATTTCTTTTAGCCGAAGCAAAAGTTGGAATCCCTGGTCCAAGAGTAGAAGCAATATTTCTTTCAGTGTTTAATGTTTTTCTGAATATTTGTGATAACTCATAGAATGGAATCAAAGAATCCCTACAGTGTGGAAACAGGCCATTTGGCCCAATAGGTCCAAACTGACTCTCCGAACAACATCCCACCCAGACTCCACCCCCCCCCCCATCCTATCCTTGTGACCCTGCATTTCCCCTGGCTCATCCACCTAACCTACACATCCCCGGACACTATGGGTAATTTAGCATGGCCAATCCGCCTAGCCTGTACGTCTTTGGACTGTGGGAGGAAACCGGAGCGCCCGGAGGAAACCCACGCAGACATGGGGAGAATGTGCAAACTCCACACAGACAGTTGCCCGAGGCTGGAATCGAACCCGGGTCCCTGCTGCTATGAGGCAGCAGTGCTAATGACTGAGCCACAGTGCCACCCTTCTTGAAGTTTATGGGAGCACTTCTAATGTTATCACTTTGCTTTCCAATATCATACCTTCCACTAAATCAGGATATGCTGCTCGTGGACCCTTAGAAGTTTACCAGAGGCCACGCAGTTTATCATTCAAGTCAAAAATTAATTTGACTGTTGTGCTTTCTTTTTCTCATCATCTTTCTCCTTACAAACTCATCTTGCCATTTCCACTGCCGTCATTTCACATCACATGGGCTTTGATGGCCTGTGTCAACATAGAGCAACATGTCTTGGTCAATTCAAAGTTGTAAGATTGCTGAGTAAATATTGGAAATATTGAATTAACATCCACGTCCTGTCAGTTACGATACTCACGTGGAAATTGGCACAGTGAGGCTACATACTCTTCAATACACATTGATAGCATGTGGTAAGATCTATGGGGAGTGTCCATTATGAGTGTGAATGTAGGAATTTATAATGAAAGATGAAAGGACAGAATGTATGAGGTTAAAATTGAGACTTTTGTTATGTAATTCTTTCTCTGTCTCCAAAGTATCATAACCAGAAACATTTTCCCTGACTTCTACCAAGCTAAACCATATCTCTTGTGACGCTCAATCCATTGTTATTCATGCTTGTGGATCGTCAGTTTTGTTATAAAGCTTTCTTCATTCACATTTCTGGGATTCAAAAGTCATTCTTTTTCTCTTCCATATCAGTTTAAGCTCATGTAAGTCACACTAAGTATTCCTGCATGAAAGATGAGTTCTTTTCAGATTAAACCCTTCACTCAAGTCTTTGTGTTTGTCTTTGTGTCCTAAAGATCTCAGCCCTTTTTAGGAATAAAGTCTCTCCATCTGTGCAGTTGCTACCCTTACCTTTCTGTTCCAACAGTGAGTGAAGTTCTTCTCCTTAGTTTATGTTTCAGTTTCTGATGTTTCCTCTTCAGCTCCTCCTTCAATGTTATTGGTTCCAATAAAAACCAAGATTTGTGCCTGTCCCCCTCCTGCCTCAAAAATATTTTGTGCCTGCTTCAGGAAGCCCCTAACCTGACTCTTGTGAACCCAAAAAACTATTTGTGACTCTTGAATGACCATGCTTGTGACACTAAGCCCCAGATCAAGTGTAGCGATATTAATCAACAAATGTTACAAAACAGATGCCTGTGCATCTAACACGCTGCCAAACCAACAGAATCCAGAGTCGGAGCGATCGAGGGATTGCTATTGGTTACCCAGTTGCACATTCATTCAAAAATGTTTTTGCTGATCCCCATTTCCTTTCTCTTCAGTCATCAATTAATTAGCCCTGTTCCATGTTACAGGCAAAACTAAATAAACAGTTTCTAGTATTGAAGGACTACAATGAAATAAAGCCACAATACAAAAAAAAGTGGAAGACTGTTTTTTTTTTGAACAGTCGCTCACTTCACTTGAGTAAAGATTCACAATTTCCTGAGCTTTGCATTATGCTCGATATGGTCAATAATTGCTGCTTAATGCTGATCATTGACTGACAGTATAGATGTGTGTTTCCTAGTGTTTTAATAAATATATGCACTATGAAATATGAAGTTTAACTGCACAGATAGGCAGTGTTCAGGTTTTATCCATGACTATGATGGACTAATCTAATCTCTGGTTAGCCAGTCAACCCCACAACTAATTTTAGTGCCCCTAGGCTGAAGAATAGAAAAAACAGTCAGCCTTCCTCATCCTGTTTATCCCGTGAAGGTCTGATTAAGCTCATTTAGAATGGGGCCCTACAATAAAACAACTTGTCGAGACCCATTTGACCATAAGACGTAGGAACAGAATTTAGGCCATTCGGCCCATTGAGTATGCTCCGCCATTCAATCATGGCTGATAAGTTCTTCAACCCCATTCTCCTGCTTTCTCCCCATAACCCTTGATAATCAAGAACCTATCTATCTCAGTCTTAAATGTACTCAGTGACCTGGCCTCCACAGCCTTCTGTGGCAGTGAATTCCACCGATTCACCACTCTCTGGCTCAAGATATTTCTCCTTATCTCCGTTCTCAAGGGTCTCAGGTCCTAGTCTCTCCTACCAATGGAAACATCTTCCCAATGCCCACTCTATCCAGGCCTTTCAGTATTTTGTAAGTTTCAATTAGATCCCCAATCATCCTTCTAAACTCCATCGAGTATGGAACCAGAGTCCTCAAACATTCCTCATATGTTAAGCCTTTCATTCCTGGGATCATTCTCGTGAACCTCCTCTGAACCTGCCCCATGGCCAGTACATCTGTCCTGAGATATTAGGCCCAAAATTGCTCGCAATACTCTAAAAGTGGTCTGACCAGAGGCTTATAAAACCTCAAAAGTACATCCTGCTTTTTATATTCCAGTCAAAATAAATGCCAACATTGTATTTGCCTTTTCTAACTACCAACTCAACCTGCAAGTTTACCTTAAGAGAAACCTGGATTAGGATTCCCAAGTCCCTTTACAAATCAGACTTCTGAATTTTCTCCCCGTTTAGAAAATAGTCCATGCCTGTCGTCTTCTTACCAAAGTGCATGACCTCACATTTTCCCACGTTGTACTCCATCTGCCACTTGTTTGCCCACTGTCCTAACCTGTCCAAGTCCTTCTGCAGCCTCGCCACCTCAATACTACCTGTCCCTCCACCTATCTCTGTATCGTCTGCAAACTTAGCCAGAATGCCCACAGTTCCTTCATTTAAATCATTAATGTATAAAGTGAAAAGTTGTGGTCCCAACACTGACCCTTGTGGAACCCACTTGTCAATAGCTGCCATCCTGAGAAAGACCCTTTTAACCCCATTCTCTGCTTTCTGCCAGACAGTCAATCTTCTATTCGTGCTAACACCTTGCCTTATACACCATGGGCCCTTATCTTAGTCAGCAGCCTCCTATGTGGCACCTTGTCAAAGGCCTTCTTGAAGTCCGGGGGTGGGGGGGCGCGGGGTGGGTGGGTAGCCCAATTGGTCCAGGTGATTTATCCACCTTCAGATCTTTCAGTTTTTCTAGCACCTTCTCCTAGGTGATGGCCACCATACTCAGGCCCGACTGTCTTGAATTTTTGGGATGTTATTTGTGACTTGCACCATGAAGACTGACGCAAAGTAATTATTCAGTTCCTCTGCCATTTCTTTGTTCCCCATTACTACTTCTCCAGCATCATTTTCTAGCGACCCAATGTTCACTTTTGCCTCTCTTTTGCCCTCTATATATCTAAAGAAACTCTTACAATCCTCTTTATATTACTGGCTAGTTTACCCTCGTATCTTCCCTCCTTTATTTCTTTTTATTTTTGTTGCCCTCTGTTGGTCTTTGTAAGCTTCCCAATCCTCTGGTTTCCCACTGCCCTTCGCCACATTATATGCTTTCTCTTTTGCTTTTATACCATCCCTGACTTCACTTGTCAGCCCTGGTTGCCTCATCCTCCCTTTAGTTTGCTTCTTTTTCCTAGGGATGAATTTTTGCTGTGTCTCCCAAATTACTCCCGGAAACTCCGTAATTGCTGTTCCACTGTCTTTCCTGCTAGGCTCCTCTTCCAGTCAATTCTGGTCAGTTCCTCCCTCATGCCTCTGTCGTTGCCTTTATTCAGCTGTAATACCGTTACCTCTGATTCTATTTTCTCCCCCTCAAATTGCAGAGTAAATTCAGTCATATTATGATCACTGCCCCCTAAGGGTTCCTTCACCTTAAGCTCCCTTATCAAGTCTGCCTCATTACAAAACACTAAATCCAGTATTGCCTGTTCCTAGTGGGCTTCACCACAAGCTGTCCCAAAAAGCCATCTCGTAGACATTCCACAAGTTCCTTTTCTTGCAATCCACACCAACGTGATTTTCCCAGTCTACCTGCATATTGAAAACCCCCCCATGTTCACTGTAACTTTGCCTTTCTTACACACCTTTTCTATCTCCTGGTGTATCTTGTGCCCCAGCTCCTGACTACTGTTTGGAGGCCTGTATATAATTCCCATTACAGTTTTTTTTACTTTTTTGCCTTTTTGCAGTTCCTTAAGTCTACCCACACAGATTCTACATCATCTGACCTTACATCGTTTCTTGCTATTGATTTAATTTCGTTTCTTACTAATAAGGCAACCCCACCTCCCCCACCCACCTGTCTGCCTTTTCCATAAGATGTATATCCTTGAACATTCAGATCCCAGACCTGATTCCCTTGCAGCCACGTCTCCGTGATGCCCACCACATCATACCTGCCAATTTTGATCTGCGCCACAAGCTCATTTACCTTATTTCTTATACTGCGTGCATTCAGATATAATACCTTCAGTCCTGTATTAACCATCCCTCTTCTCACTGTCCTTTGTTTATCCAATGTGCTTGAAGTTTGATTACTGACCCTCTCAACACTGTCCTGTTTTATGTTCTGGAAACTTTAATAACTGCTTCTGAGTTCTCCTTACTTTTCATCTTTTTCATAGTTTTCCATCTGTTAAATCCACCCCCTCAGATGTTAACCTGCTCCTTTGTTTTCCATTGGCCATTACACTACTTGGTGTTTTGTCCTTCACATCCACCATGCCCCTCCCCCAACACTTTCTAGTTTAAAGTCCTGTTGACCAGCGTATTTACACTTTTTGCTAGAACATTGGTCCCAGCTCAGTTCTAGTGGAGACCATCCTAGTGGTACAGAGCCCTCCTGTTTCAATTTGGATGCCTGTGCCCCATGAAAAGGAATCCCTCTTTCCCACACAGCTCTGTTAGCCATGTGTTTACTTCCCTTATTCTCATGTCCCTATGCCAATTTGCACATGGCTTGGGCAGTAATCCGGAGATTATATAACCCTTGAGGACCTGTTCTTTAATTTCGCTCATAGCTCCTGATAATCTCTGAACAGGTCCTGTTTCCTAGTCTTGCCTACGTTGTTTGTTCCGGCATGGACCACAACAATTAGATCCACCCCTCCCACTCCAATATCCTTTCCAGCCGGTCAGAGATATCCCTTACTCTGGCACTGGGCAGGCTACATACCATGCGGGACTCTCGATCCTGCTTACAAAGGATACTATCTATTCCCCTAATTATAGAATCCCCTACAGCTACCACCTGTCTTTTTGCTGCCCCCTCTTGAATGGCCTCCCGTGCCATGGTGCAGTGGTCAGCTGGCTCATCCTCCCTGCAGTCCTGTTCCTCATCCACACAGGGAGCAAGTACTTCGTACCTGTTGGACAAGGTCAAGAGCTGAGGCTCCTCTGTTCCTGAATACAGAATCCCTCTACCTGCCTCACTTGCAGTCACACCCTGCTATCCCTGGCCACTGACCACATTTGAATTACTAAATCTACCAGGTGTGACTGCCTCCTGAAACGGAGTGTCCAGGTAACTCTTTCCCCCTCCTGGATGTGCTGCAGTGCCTGAAGCCTGGACTCCAGCTCATCAATTCTGAGCTGAAGTTCCTCCAGCAGCCAACACTTGCTGCAGATGTGGTCACCGCAGTTCGCTATGGGATCAGCCATCTCCCACATCATATAGCTACTGCACATCACCTGCCCAGCCATCTCTACTTGGTTAATTGCTTTATTCAATGTGTTGTCACAAGAAAAGCTACTGAGTGATAGTCTAAAGTGGGATCAGTACTTTTGAGGAGGTATCTAAACAAGCCACATCTTCAGGAGAGAAGCTAGGAAGGGCAGGTCAGAGCCTAAATAAAGGGGGAAAGCAATGAGATTGTTACAGAACAGATTGCTATTGTTTCAGATCTTGACTTTAATTGAAGAAGGTTTCTTTGTTACACAATTTGATGTTCTGGTTTCCCTGCAGATGCGGCTGCAGTTAATTCTTCTTCACTGAAGTGTACAGGGATAGATCTCCAGCCTGTCCTTAAATTGGATTGGGCATGTCCAGATGGAAAGAACAACGGCTTTTCTATCAAGGCAACAAACCTCAGCACTCAGCTAAATTATACAGCTTCGAGCTGTACCTCACGAATGCAAGAATTCACGCTGAATGATGTTGTATTCTTCACAAATTATTCTGTGACTATCACCACTTTGTCATGTGGTAGTCCGAGTACATCAACCCGCGTAGAGTGCACGTCTGGCATTACACGTAAGTTTTAAACTCGGCGCGCTGTCTTCACAGTAAACAAATTGCAATGTAAGATCATGTGGAACTGGCGCCTGGGTCTGTCATCATAAGCCATCATCCCTTACTGTCCTCTGTATATAGTAATGTTCAATGCAGCATGTTGCAAGTGTAGATATCATATTTTACTGCACTGGGAGTACATATCAGAAAATTTGACACTCCACCCCATTTTCCAACCACTTAGCTTAACAGTCAGCTTAAAAGTTAAGAAAGCACATACTAGGAGGGAGATAGTAGGAACTGCAGATGCTGGAGAATCCGAGACAACAAGGTGCAGGGCTGGATGAACACAGCAGGCCAAGCAGCATCATAGGAGCAGAGAGGAGTGGTTTAGGGTGAATACAAGATCCTAATATGCACTGTTTGCATGTGCCAGGACTGAAGGGATAAGTCTTGAGCTAACTCACTGCTACATTAGATAACTGCAATGAACTAAATATTACCCTTTCCCTTTCTTACCCAGAGTAGAAAATAGGAGTAGACCATCCAGCTCTATAAGCCTTCTCCACCATTCGATATGATCATGGCTGATCATCCTACTCAGTATCCTGTTCCCACTTTTGCCCAATACTCTTTGATCCCTTTAGCCCTAAAAACTATATCTATCTCCTTCTTGCAAACATTCAACATTTTGGCCTCAGCCACTCTCTGTGACAGAGAATTCCACAGGTTCCCCACTCTCTGGGTGAAGAAATTTCTCCTCACCTGAGTCCTAAATGGCCTACCCTATACACTTAGACTTGTGACCCTTTGGCTTTTGACTCCCCAGTCATTGGAAACATCCTGCATGTATCTGGATGAAAAAGTGAATGAAAGTTTGGACTGTTTACTAACTACAGACTTCCCATTTAAAATATCTTTGGCAGTCCTTATCCACTTTGTCCTAGTGTTAATAACCTTCTACACACAGTTCAGCAGGATGTAACTGCACTAATGGAAACTTTTTGACGCAAGCTCTTAACACAAGTCTACAACTCCTAGGGGTGCAGATTGGAAAACCCCATTACTTCGTCCATTGAGTTCCAATGAGGAATATTAGTGAGTTTGGCTGCCTCATTTGAGGCTGATGCTATAATGCCAGTTGTGCTGTTTAAAGATCCAGGCTGAGATATTGTATTTGGGTAGCATGAAAGGACTTTCTCCCCATCCAAACCTGCTCTAGGTGAGGTGAACTGCCTGAAACAGAATCTAGGTACCTGAAATGCAAGAATCCCATGCCCCAATGATAGGAACAAGCAATGAAATCAAGCCAAACCATTTTACCCATTCTGTAATAAACTTTGAAATACATTTTGTTAGGTAAATTTATTGAAATATAAATTAATTCAAGATGTTTTCCCAAGAGAACGGGGAAAAGAAATTGTTCATAATGTTTGAGAGAGAAGTGCAGGTCGGGTCATCTATCACTAAAGGGCAATTGTTTTGCATTGAATATTCCTAAAAAGTTCTTGTATTGCATCCAACGCCAATATTTGTATACAACCATTACAGGATATTGAAAAGATATTGTGCTGTTTCATTTTACTTCTCATTTATTCGTAGACCCTCCCCAGCCTGCTGGTAAATTACAAGTGCCAAGTGCTGAAGTTACACACAAAACAATTATGTTTGAGATCAAAGAAGATGCATTTAATTCTGACAATGGTCCACTTAAAGCAATTGCTGTGATTGTTACAAAAGAAGAAAACAGTAAGTACTGTTTTTTTTCAACATTTGAACTGAATTAAAATTCTTATTTTTCTTGTGAGCAGTTGCTTTCAACTCATGATCCTAATTTGTAGGATGCTCATTTGTATCCTACCAAAGGTGTAGATGTCCTTAGCCCTGAACTTCTGTTTAGGCTTGGCTTGTTGTGAATTTATACGAAATTAGGATTTCTTACCACCATCCTTAGTTCCTGGAAATGGGTTCATTTATATCAATAGTTTAGGTACCTACAGCTTTTATGAAATTGTCCAGGTACTTGAAACATGCAGCGATCATGAAAATTGGTGAAATATTCTGCATACTATTGGCAGGTAGTGGTGGCCATTCAGTTGAATGTGATTTTTATTTTTGGTGGTATCAATTTTTGTATTCTTGATCAGTGATCTGGAGGAAGGCACTGCAGTGCTGTCTGCAGGTACCTGGGCAGAATATTTGAATTACAGCAAACTTTGTTTTAACCAGCACCTTATCAATTGGCACTATTGATAAACCAGCAAAAGTTATATACCTCAAATATCATTATCAACTATGATGTCTGAGTATTTATGCTGTGAATAAAGTATAACGGTGATGTGTACACCCATGTATTACATTTCTGTTACTTCCTGTATGTTTTCACATTGATTTTAGGAGGTGAGTAGATTTTTTTTACATAATTTTTTTTGAGGGATGTTTATGCCTCGAAGCTTCACTTCGTCAGGGTTTACTGCGGTTATGCGAAGCTCTTCATTGTCTAGAATATTCAGTCAACTGGCACACTCCTGGTTTCCACAGATGCTGCTTAATAAAAGGTTTGCTATATGTGACTGTTAGAAAATGCATCTGAATTCAGTTTCGGAAATGAAAGATTCCTTTAAGTGTTGTATTCGCTGTTTCTGAATGGTGCTCGTTTGACTGACCTTGGGAGAATTTGGCCAAATTTTCTTTCTTCCCCAAATCCCACATTGGCTTTATTTTTGTCTCTCCTAAAGCACTGTGTGGCTGATCATTTGAGGTAGTGTGACTGGATGAGAGTTTGAGAGTGCAGAAGTTAAAGCATAATTGCACCAGAAAGGTTTTTTGATCACCTGCCCTTTTCCAATCCATCATCTTTTCATTTTTGTACCAAAAAACATGTGGGTTACTTAAATTAAAAATGTGAGAGAGACAGTTCAGAATTGAGTTGTGCAAAGCAATATCTTTCATTCCTTCCTATTCAATTCATAGTATCCAAGACTAAGCTGAGACCAGGAGTTTATTGAACCCGCTGAAGTGCAGTGATTGCGAAGGATTTGTCAGTCCTTCTAACGTGACATCTTTCACTTTTTACAACTGGTGTATTAATGTTTAAGGTCCAGTATATCACTGTTGCTGTGGAAAACCTGCTAATTGGGCATGATTTGCAAAGTTCACTGGTGGCAAGGAATGTTGCTGACCAGAAATACAGAATTGAGTGGTCAAACCAGCTTGCCAAACTCTCAGCGAGTTATGTTTCAATGTGAAAGAGCAAGCCAATATATTGAGGATCACTGCTACCCATAGATGTCTAATTAAGATACAGATTTGATGTATACAGAAGCTTTGGTGGTGAGTGACATAAAATTCCCCTTGGCCATTTCAATGAAGCTGAAGTATTTCCTAAGGCAACAAGAGAGGCCCAATATGCCTACTGCTTTTTTGTTGAAAACAAGTATAAGCCTGGCCAGACACAGAACTGCAAGACGTCCAAGAGAACAGGGCGGAGAAGATTGAAGAATCATGGAATAGTGACATCACAGAAATCAGGCATTCACTCTGGCTCTCTGAAGGAGACAGACAGTCCCTGGGTTGCAGACAGGTTCCATTCTGAGTCCATTTACAAGTTAGTTTGTACCCAAGTCGGAACACTATGCAGGACAATGTAAAGTAAGCTTTCATGAGTACAGGAAACGCTCGTATGCCAGATCTTTAAAGCTACACCCCTGTATGAGGTCACATTTGTAAGTACGAGCATTTGTAAGTTGGATGTTCGTAAATCAGGGACCTCTGTGTGCCCAGTTCCACTCCTTTTCCTTTTCCTGCAGCCAGAAAGCTTTCCTTTTCGGATACTAAAGCAATTCCATTGTGAAGCTGCCCCCACCATATGCTGGCTGTGCCTTTCAGATCCTAACTACCTTCTGTACGAAAAAAGATTTTCTTCAAGTTGCCAATTCCTTTAAATCTGTTCCTCTTGTTTCTATCCTTCCAACAAATGGGAATAGAGTATGCAGGGACGAACTATGAGGAGCCTCCTCAAATATCCTCTTCACTTGTCTGTCATGGAGATCAACTCCAACTACTCAATTCCTCAAGCGTGGAACAATTCTCGTGAATCTTTTCGACACTAATATTTTCACATCTTTCCAACTGAAAAAACATGTGTTTTGTGCAACTGCAACAAACCTTCCTTGGTTTTGTACATGTGCCACTCTTGTTGGAGCCCAGGGTGGTCTGTGCTTTATTAACTCCGCTCTCAACTTGTCCTGCCATCTTCAATGAGTTGTACATGTGCGTTTGCTCCTGTGCTCCCTTTCGTATTGTACTCTTTACATTGTGCCCTTCCATTCTTCCTACCAAAGTTTATCACTTCACACTCCTCTGCATTAAATTTCATCAGTTAATTGTCCACACATTCCACCAACATATGCCCTTTTTAAAGTTCTGTGTTCCTCATGGTTTACAAAGTCCAAGTTTCACATCATATTGTAAATATTAAAGTTGCACATCAAGGTCTACATTGTTCATGTATATCGGAGGAACAGACATCTTAACAGGAGGGAACTCCACTACAAACCTTCAGCCATGCTACTCTTAGTCTCTTGACACTCAAGCCAATTTTGTGTCCATGTTTCTAGTGTCCTTTTATATCAAAATCTCTAATGTTGTTCACAAATCTGTTATGCAGCACTGTGTCCATTGCCTTTTGTAAGTCAGAGATAGTAGGAACTGCAGATGCTGGAGAATCCGAGACAACAAG